TGATAAATGATTCTTTAGTGCTTTATAAAAAAAAATTCTTTATTGCTTTTTAAAAAATCTTTTTGGTGTATGAAAATTTCACTTCCATTTCATCACGATTATATATTATTCATTTTGCATGTAAAACAATAAAATAAAGTTTATAATATTTAACATATCTGAAATCAATTATTTACAAAATATTTGCTGTTATAAGGTTGATTTTATTTTTATTCATCACTGCATCCAAAAGAAGGAAAGGAAAGGAAAGCAAAGTGCTGGTAATGGAAATGGAAAACTTAGAAGAATGAAAAAGATCAAAAAGAAAATACAGAAAATAAAAAGTAACAGGAAATTTTGCTAGCGAAGAATTTTGGAATTTTGTTCATTTTTATAGCGATCAATTCAGATTATTTTCATTTAGAAATTTATGAATTTCTAATCAGTTTCATTCATTAATATGCAATCATTTATAGACTTATTTATGCTTTCTTAAAAAATTTTTCACCTGCATTAGAAATTTTTTTATTCACGGTAAAATTACAGGGTCAAATAAGTTTCCCAACAATTATTTGCATAAAAAAAGTAATTGAAAGTGATTGAAAAATTGTTAGTTATATGTTATTCTCTCGATTAACCCATTATCCTGGGAAATTTGAGCTGAAGGGTTAGATAAATATGCATGGGCAGGATGAACTTATTAGTCCTAGGGCAACTATTCTTCTTTCTCATCCAAGAGAAGGTATTCTCATTCAAGAAAAAGTCTCATCTCAGAGAAGCATACTAAAAATTGTTTTATTTGAAAAACTGTCTTATTCCTTAGACAAATATAAACTTGTTTCATATCAAATTTCAAGTGATCTAACATCCATTTTTTCAGTTCTAACTGAATTATGCATTGTTTAGAATGTTACAATCTGTTAACAACAGATGTGCTTTGCTTAATATGTTGTAATTTTCTCTCAATTTTACTGTTCAAATCTTTTAGTCTGACAATTAACATTCAATAGCTAAGAAGTTGTAAAGTTTTTGTTCAGTTAAATTTTTATTATTATTAACCAGTCCCAATTGCAGCATTGAAATACATATATTTAAATGTCTTCCAGTTTAATAATTACTCTTTTATAAGTAATTAACGTGAATCAAATGCAATTACATATGTTAGTAATTATCGACAAATGATAACTCCTTACTCTTTTCCTCAAAGTACTGTAATTTTGTTATAAGCCAAAATGCACTACACAAGGAGTAAGACCCATTGTTCAATCAATAAAGAAGCTCCTACTCCCTCCCATTGTTCTCAACACTCTCTCAGAGTGGTACAGAAGCAGCAAGAACAACGATAGATGGCAAGAAAGTGTGACAAGATTTAGTGAACTGCTCGGTATAATTTGGTATTCATTTCTTTCTATTATCGTGTGAATGCCATATTATGTGACATCGTGTAAGAACAATGAAGCTATTGTCAACGTTGTCAACGTTGTGAAGTTGTCACACCAACAAATGCTAAATCTTTCCTCGAATTTAATTATATAACAAAGAGATGAAACAGTTTAATAGTAAAAATTTTCATTTTGATTGCAGAATATCGAAATATACATAGCATTGTAGTGGATAAGTAATAAACAATCTCAGCTATATTAAGCAAGTAGGTTTTGCTAATCTAAATCCAACTGAAACTTATTGTAGTAGCAAGGAAATGGAAAAGTATCGGTTACTTCGATCAGTATTAGGTTTTTTTAGAATATTTCAGAGTATGGAATGATGCACTGCAACAATACAAATGCAAAAATTTATGAATAAAGCATCACAGTTTGATGGTTTAAAGGTTAAATTAAGGATATGCTCAAGTTTGAACAAAATAGCACTGTCACATAATCTCGCACTCCATTTTATTTTGCATTTCATCTTCTGGTATAATACTAAAAATCGATAGATTTGATCGCTGAAAATTATTGTCAAATTTTAACAAAGCATTCAGAAAAGAAAAGAATCAAAAAATTCAGTATGAATTCTACTTTGATAAAATTAGGTTTTCAGAACTCATCTCACTGCAGCAAAATGGTGACGTAATCGTAACTCAAAGTGCTCAAAGATGAAAAAGTAATATACCGAACCATAAATTATAGATCAATTATCTGTAAGTTATTTAAGAGATAGGAATTATTGCTTGAAAGAAATCATTTTGACCATTATTTGAGATATATTAATACTTCACACTTAAAACTGACAGGAAAGTATTCATCAGCTATTGATAAAACTAAAAACTTTTAGACTGTGCTCATCAAGAAGAATCAGCAATTGTTTGCTTTCATATTACATTGCTGAAATATATGGAAGAAAAAAGATTGAAAATTTGCTGTACTAGCAGATTTTATAGGTAATTTCAAAGTTTTTGTATCATTGAAATGACAATGTAACACTACTGGCTGCCTTTATGGTTAACAGTTAATTATTTGAGCTATGTGAGAAATATTTGTTAATTACATAAATTGTGTGTGCATTAAAAATTTACGAATGAGTACTTAATTTTATTCACAATTCCATAAGAAAGTGGATATATGTATGATCTTATTCATTTTTCTGGCATTTCACGCTATTAAGCTTATGTTAAGCTTATTTTAATCTAAGTATTCTTTCAATAACAATTAAGAATTCATCAAATTTCGAGCCAAATTTGGAAATATTTGAGAAGATAACAAATTATAAACTTACAAAAACAAATGTATAATTTGTTGTTATTTTTTTTTCAGAAATTTAGTATTTCAATAATTTAGCGCTTTTGGTCTGAATCGATCGTCAATGTCTGTCATTTCGAGAGTACGAAGAATACTAATTCATCGGTCTGAGTGAAAATCACAAATAACGGATCACATAAAGAAATGGATTCAAATTTAACACAAACAATTGAATTAGTAATTAAAATCAAAAAGTGCACTACTGAACGAACACATTAGGAAAATTCAATATAATAGGACAGTGAATTTTCAATCATTTCATTAACTAGCTTCTTTTCAATTTATTTTCCGTTTACATCTCTCATTTGTTTGATTGTTTCTGTATCAGTCGAACTAGTTGAAGTGAATTTATAATTAGCAAATTGAGTTCCGAAAATATCACTCCATTTGATCCTATGAATAAATTTGATGACGATATTAGTGACATTTTTTAGCCTTTTATTAATTTAGTTTTCATTTAATTAATATATCAAAATTTGGTGCTGCAAATATATGTATGAAATTTATTTTTCAAAATGGTTTAGCTTAATTAAAGACTAGTAATAACAATTAAAATGCTTTCAGATAACACATGCTTCATGTTTTTGATTTGGTTGCAGAAATGATTTCTGGTTGCAAATTTTTTAATCTTCGATTCTCAAAAATACTGTCAAAAATATTTTCAAACATATCATTTGATACTTTAATCTACTGCAACCATTTGCTAAATTGTTGTTTGTATCCCGAGAAATTTGAATGACAGTATTATTTTTTTGACTATTCAATTCTCAACAATGACACAAATGTTTTTATAATGTCACATGGCCTCTTTTTTATAAATAAAGTGATTAGCAGATTATATGAAAATAAAACTTCAATTTATGAAAATTTTTGATACAATTTCTGCTCATCCACTGAAAATTTGAATCAACATCGGTGACAAAAAGCTTTTTTTTAAAAAAAAATAACGCCCATTTTTTGTACATCATAATTTTACGTGATCTGAATTAGCATTTACCATTCATGATAAGGAATTTTTATGGCTTTTGTGGCACTTCGTAATTCCTAAACATATTTGGTGGTTAAGTGATGGATTAAGATTAGTTTAAAAAATTAAAGAATTCAATCAACTTTACAACAAATTTTTAAAGCTAACTTTGAATATTACACAAAGAAGAAAGAAACTATTTAGCACTACAAATTTTAATTTTATTATTTGTTATATATTTCAGTAAATATAAAATTAATAATTACATAGCTATCATTGCGGACAAATAAAAAAGTATTTGGATGAAATAATAATAACACAACAATCATCATATACAAACAAATAATAACACAATAATCATCATATACAAATAAATAATTACCTAATATTCGAGCAGATTAAAACTAACGCAATCATCATATATTACTAATATATTCTACAATCATTTATAAAATAAAATGAAAGAATTTTACCGGAATACAATAATCATCACATGCAAATAAATAATTATATAACATTTGAGCAGATTAAAAGATATTGTAATTTACTACAGTTTCATCTTATCCAACAGTAATTTATACAATAATCAATTAAAAGCAGAAATGTATTTCTAATCATAACAACTGTGATTAATTAATTAACTACATGATTAAAAAAGTGATAAGCATTGGTTGTGTTGTTGAAGTATAACAATCATTGCATAATAAAATTAGAGAGACATGACGTGTCATAATAATCATTTACAGTAAAGTAATGATAAACAATCGTAATCAAAACAGTATGATCCACTTGTTGATAGTAATCAAAGATCAATTAATCAGTGCTATGTAAATTCCTATAAATAGCTTCCCTTCTAACTAGTATTTCATTCTTTTCTTGTCTGCAACTCATTTTTTTTTTCATATGAATTTAAATTTCTATATTAAATTAGTTAATGATAGATACTGTATAATGTTATAAATTCTAATTTATTTTTGTATTTAATGTCAAAATCAAATTATATATCAAATTTCTGCCATATTCAGAATTTTTCATAAAAAGCAAATTAATTATTATATTAATTTTATCCTTTTCATATACCAAAAAATTTGTTGGTTATGTCCACTCATTACATATTGCATTTCATTTCATTTCATTTCATTTTCATTAGTTTTTTCAACCGTTGTAAAATTGTTATAGATAATACCTTTTTATTATTCCTATTTTCATCAGTTTTCGATTAATTGTTAAACTCATTATCAGATAAATTTTACTCAATCCATACAGATAAAATAGAAATTAAAAATTATAGTTCCATCTCGAGAATAACACATCAAATGGCACATTGGTGGAAAATTTTGGTAATGCTTCAATTTTGGTTTGCGATGTCATTCGCAGAAAATAAGGAAACTCCAAGCTATATTTCGGTACATTTCACTTCTGTTTAACTATCAAAAACAGTTACAGCATAGAGAAGTACCATCCTGCTCATTTGTCATTTAAATCATAATATAATATAGGCGACAATTGCGCCGTATAATTCTCAGATCAGTTTATTATCCATAATTAGTTAATGAAAAGGAATCGTACCACTTATGAATTTATTTTTTATTTTTATTTCATTTTTTCCTTTCACTGACTAATTTCAAAAGCTATTTTATCTGAATAGATCTGAAATCACGTGAAATTATACGTGAAAATGATAATTTAGGATAGAATATCTTACATTGATAACTTAATCTTGTTGTCGACATTTAATCATTGAATAAAACTAGTAGTTTTGATGTTATTAGCATATTAGCAATGCTCGAAATTATTTCTTTTAGAGTACTTTCCCTTCACTCATTCCGGAAAGTGATTCTCAGGACGGCAGAACTTTCCCTTCACTCATTTCGGAAAGTGATTCTCAGGACGATAGTACTTCCTCTTCACTCATTCCGGAAAGTGATTCTCAGGACGATAGTTACGATTTTTCAACACAGGTAATACATTGAAAATGTACTGATAAATTTAATCAAAGTGAAAGTATCATACATTCCGGAAAGTGATTCTCAGTTAAAGTTAACAAGTTCACAGTAATTTAAGAAAACATATCATATTTTGATTGCTTCTTGATCAACTAATAGGATAAACACTTCTTATGTAACACTACTGTTAAAACTTTTTTTTTTTTAATGATTTCTTTAAAAGTATCAAGTAGTTTCCTGATTCAACCAAGGTTTTAATTTTAATGACCATTTTGTCCGCAATGATAGATTTAAGTAATTGTAAAATTTTTACTCTAAATGGTTTATTTCAGGTTTATGAGTGGTACTCTGAGACTACTACTGATAAGGTAAGTATATATACATACATTTTATTGATTATTTTCATCGTAATGATAGATTTTAAATGAATGTGAAATTTTAACATTCCAAATAATTTCTTTTTGGCTCACTTATGGCATCCTGATAGATATCACTACTAAAGAAAGTAATGTATTTTAGTCCGGAACAATAAACTGAAACGAACTGAAACGAATGTGGGAAGATAGAATTATGTGAAATGAATTCAATTCGACCATTTTTTATTGACCTTTAAAAAGGAAACAAACACTTTAACAATTTATCTATGCTTTTTTTAAAAAATATTTATTAATGTTCTTTTTTAAATATTTATCAGGAAAGAATAAATTTTAATATATTGTGTAATCACATTTGTAAAAAAGAAAAGTGGTAATTCTCTTGACTGGAATTGAAATTACTTGAAATCATTAACTTAATGAATGAAAAAAACAGAATGTGTAAGTCGAGATAGAAACGGTGATGGCATACTGTAAGCACATCGTCTATAGTATAACTCATTACGCATATTACAATTTTCCAATAATATTTCATCCTAAAATTAATTATCATTCATCAATATTTCATCCTAAAATTAATTATCATTCACATTCAGATATAATCAAATTATTTTTTTTTTTAGATCTAATTTGTTGCAAGAATGAGAAGAAATTTCAAGAAATTACTTTATTGCATTTATCTATGATTCTAAAATTTATTAGAGTGCTTGACAAAATTTTAATTAAATGGAAATGTATGAAAGAAAAAATTATATCAATTAAATAAAATAAAAAAGTAATATTTAGTCTCTGAATAAACTTTAAATATTATTGTTAGACAAACAATTATATACATTTAGTTCGAAATTATATGATTTTAAAAAATTGTTTTCTTTTTTTTTCGCTGATTTTACAATTTCATCATAATTTTCTTTTTTCTACGACTTTATCATAAATTGATAAAAGGAAAAAAAAAACTTACTGCAAATTGAAATTGTAAATTGTACACACCTAAATCAAATAATTGCAATGCATAATTTCCTTTGCTTATGTATTTTCCTGGTACTTTTATTACAAATGTACGCCATAATTTGAACTGAAAGGTAACAATTTTGATTATTTTAACAAATATTTGTAGATCTTATAAAGATATGAAAAGTTTGAATTTAATTTTTCAATTTTCCTTATTTTTTCAATTTTAATTTTAGTATATAAACTGAAAAAATTAATGATAATATTTTATAAAATAATGTTTGTACTTTTAATTATGAAAACTATGAAACTATTTGTATCAGAAAGTGAGAAATTTTCTTACCGTTGGTCGAGACTTACTGATAGGTAATTTATCAGCATCACATCGATGATAAACATAAATATATGGATTCACCTGATATTCACTTCGATAACTTCCATTTATTGCAAATTCACCATATTCATTTGTATTTGTTCGTGCAATATATACATCATTTGGCCCTTTATCATTTATAATAGTAATTCAAATTAACAATAAAAGTTTATTCTTTTATCAAATAGCAAATAAAGTAATCTTTCACTTTACTTTACTCTTTTTTTTGCACTAAAATAATAATTTGAATTAGCAATTATTATTGTTTTATTAAAAAGTAAAATACAAGACATAATATTTGTAAAAAGTAAACAAACTTTGTTACCTCTTTTTTGCCTTAAAATATATACAATTGATTTTAACAGTGATCGATTATCTTCCCACAGTTCAATTGCTGCCCGATGTAATGGGTATTCACCACACATAAATTTTCCATGAATTGCAAATGAGTGATTTCGCTTTATGAAACCATCGGTATTGCTAATTAAAGCTAATGGTAAAATGGATAATGTAATTATATTCATTGCTAAAATAGATCTGATTAATTAATTAATTAATTAAAGATTTGATAACTAATAAAAAAATTATTTGTTTGATAAATTGTGAATTATACTGAATTCAATTATCAAATTTAACTTAGCAAATTTGATATATTCTTAAAATTAAATATTTAAATGCAATCATAAGCGATTAAAATAAAATGTAATAGCAGCGTGAATTTAGTATTACTTTTAATATAGATATGATAATATTCATATGGTATCTATGATTAACTGATAGCAAATAAAGAAAAGTGATAATTTGATAAATTGATAAAATAACAGATACGAAGAAAATTAATTAATAAAAATGGCAATTAATTGATTATATTAATAATTAATAAAATTGCTGAAATTAAAACCACTCTGATATAAAGTGTTATTAAAATTTTACAATATAATACATCGAGAAATTTGAAACAATTAATAATAAAAAAAAGTTCACAATAACAATTGATTATATATTCTAATTTCAACTGTATTATTTATTTGAAACAAAACTAAGCGAAACACATTGAAATTGTTAGTATATTAAAGTAAAAATTAGTGTTACTTCAAATTTGGCTTAGCAATACAAACTTTTTATTTATTTTTTTCTGGAATATAACTGAAATATAATATTTCATTTTTAAGCAGTTTCAAACTCATTACTATTATAATATTATTATTTTTATTATAATTTTAAATATTATTCTTATTATTGCCATTATTTATTTATTTATTTATTTATTTATTATTATTATTATTATTATTATTATTATTATTATTATTATTATTATTATTATTATTATTATTATTATTATTATTATTATTATTATTATTATTATTATTATTATTATTATTATTATTATTATTATTATTATTATTACACATCTATCTATACCAATTCCATTCCAAAATTACAACCATAAAAATTACTTTGACAAATTCCTTAAGTCCTCAGCAAACGATATGAAACATTTTGAAAATTAAGTTAAACATTTATAATTATTAATTAATATGCAAATCACATGCTAAAATATTAGTAACAAAGTGAAAAATTCAAATCAATTGAAAATTACTCATTGATTATTACAAAAAAATAAGGAATGAATTAAATAAGTAACAATGCAACATTTTAAAACTAATTTTTTCTTTTTCTTTTTTTTTCTTTAATTTAGTTTTACTTCAACTTTAACAATTTAACATAAAATAAACATCATAATAACATGCATAACTTTATTTTTCCAACTTTTCAAATAATTCATTTTCGATTTTATATGGTAAAATCGACCTCTCTTAAATATAAATAAAAAGAAAAAACAATCAAATATAGCTAATATTATTAGCAAAAAAATTCCCATAACTTTTCAATATTTTCAGTACTTTAGTTATTTATTATTCATTAAAAATAAACAATTATTAAAGAAAACTGAGTAATAAAAACAAAAATACTTAAATATAAGTTTAACGAAAATTCCAATCCCATTTCAAATTTATGCATTTAGTTCTTAACTTTTAATTTGCCATTACCAAATTCCAAGATTAAAATTCTTCCACAAAAGTTCTAAATATGGTGAATATTCTGGATACTTGGATAAACAATGTTCAAAATTAGTTTCACCACAACTTATAACTAATTCTTCGTCCTGTAAAATACATTTAACGATATTTGTTATCTGATATAATATTATAATAAATTTTAACATTTCTTCTAAATTAACACTCTCACAAAAAAACTAACCTAAACTTTTAAAAACGGTAAAATTTATAAGATTGAAAGTTATTTTGACACACATTAATTACTAATTATTTCATCTTTAATTGACTTTTAGAATATCTTTTTTCTATTCTTTTCTTGATCCATAACAGAATACGTGTGACGTAACACGTGTAATATCAGTAATCAATTATCTATTTAATCTATTATTTTTTTTTGTCATGACAATTGTTTCCATTTGTATAGCTTTATCTTATCTGATTAATTTATTATCATCATTTATTTCGCTGTCACCACTTACTTCACTTATGTCACTGTCACCCCTTTTACTTCATTTATGTCATTGTCACCACTTACTTCATTTATTTTATTGTCACCATTTTTATTTCATTTATTTCATCTGCCCACTTATTAATCAAATCAAATTTGATTTTGAATTGATTGTATCACTCTGTTAAATTAATTTTTGAAAAAATTATATTTGAATTATAAACAAATTTAGCATAGGACCATGGAAAAAATGATCAAAATTTGAGTAAAATTGTTTAAATAAATTGAAGTACTACAAATTACCATAAATTTAAATTGTAAATTCCAGGTACCCAGGTCGAAGACTTTTATAGCTTCTTCACCATCATTTACGTATTGTCCTGGTATACGAAATATGAATCGTCTCCATCTTTGAAACTGTAAAAAATTAAAAGTAAAAAAAAAAAATAATAATAATAATAAAATAAAAAAACAACTATTATTGCTGTATCACTAAATTTTATTAATAAATGCAATTCAATTTTGACAATTCAATTTATATTTGAAAAAAAAATTTATGCATTTTGTATTGGTTAACTGTTTCTTAAAGTATTATTAAATGACATAATTATTGTATTACCAATTTATTGATCATTTTTGAAATTAGATAAAATTAATAAACAATAAACAATTAATTAAAGCGATTACAAGTTATAAAATAAAGAACTAAATAATTAAAAATAAAAAATTAGATAAAATCAATAAATAACTAAATAATTAGTTGAAATTTAGGGAAAGAGAAAATGTTTAGTGGAAAGAGAGAACCATAAAATAAGTTTTGTTGTTAAATTATAAAAAATAAAATAATATCTAACCTCTCTATCCTTAAATTGATTATATTTGAAATGAAATAAATGTTCACATTGATGATACACAACCATATATAAACTTAATTTTGTTAATTCTTCATGCATAGCACTAATTTCAAAACTTCCATCAGTATTTGGATGTGTTGTGAACAGTTTATCATCTGGATTAATACCTTAAAATTACCATATCAAAGAATTATTAATTTAAAAATGAAATATAAATTTAAAAAATTAAAAATTAAAAATGGATTTCCTTATTTTTTAAAAAAATCTTTCCAAATTAGCATTTTTTTATTTTGTTTGTTAATTCATTCATCCAAATTTAATTTTTCATTAAATAAGTTGAAAATTTTTTCAAATTATCATAACATTTAACCAAAATAATTGTCACATTCCCATTTAATATTAAATTGATGTAATTGTAATAAAATAATTTTTTTTCACTTCAATAGTTTATATTGAAATAATAGAATGAAATATATTTTAAATCTTATTATTATTTTTTTTTGGTTTTTAATTTTAGAAAATTTCCTACCTTTTTTTTGATTGAAAAATTCATGAACAAAATTTATCAATGGTTCATCTTCATCCCATAATTCAATTGTTGCATTATGTGGAATTTCAGCGCCACATTGAAAAATTCCTCGAATTTTTACCGCCTGCATTCGACTTTCTAATAGTTGAAAATTTGCTAATAGCCAAAATAATAGTAATAATAATAATTGTAGCATAATTCTCTAAAATATTTTCATAAAAAATACCACTAAAATTTGTTTATATTAATTATTTATATCAAATATAATAATTATTATTTCATTTCTTTCATTCAAAAATTATTGAAAAAAGAAGCGAAGAAATCGCAATTTAAAATAAAATTTTCTTTCTTTCAAAAAAAAAAAAATTTATAAATAGTAAGGAAAAAGTAAAAAAACTGATAAACAAATTTTATAATAAAATAAATAGGAATAGAAAAACATATGAAATAAGATGAAAAAGACAATAATTAGTAAAAAATTTTATTCCTTTTAAAAAATTTAAATATGATAAGAATAAACATAACAAATGTGCAAAAACAAAAAAATGTTGCAATTTTAAATAAAAAAAAGTTGAACTTTAACCTAGTAATAATCTGAAAAATAAGTACAAAAAAGTCTGATCAGCATTTTTTGATGAATTTTAAAAGTATCAAAAATGTTAAAATAATATAACTTAATTCAAATTTAAAATTTATTTGATTATGTCTTATTAAATAATTCAAAATAACAATGAGATCGCAATAAATCAACATTATGATACGTAACTCTCGTGTTGTTCATCCTGAAATTAGTATTTGAATTAGAAAATGCAATGAAAAATTTCAATTCTCAAATTAAATAATTTAAATATTTATACGGTAAATAATTTTGATAAATAATTTTCGATACAAATGTAGTAATTCATTAATTTGTTCAAAATTTTGTTTTATCACTTTAAATTTTCTTTTCAAATAGTAGTAATTGCTTTTCTTTTTTTTGTTTTAATTACTACCTTGAGTGCCTTAAAAATCAGCGACAAATCAAAACTAATAAATATTGAATTAGTCAAAATTAACAAATTTCATTTGTTAAATATTCAAATTATAATTATTTAATGTAATTAATCTGAAATTATAATTAACTAATTAATTAATGCACACTTACAGGTAATATTGCTTCCAAATTAAAAATGCCCAAATCTAAAACTTTTTCAGCATGGATACCATAATTAGTGAAATGATATGGTACCACGAAATGAATTTTTCGAAAACCAGGCTGTAATAAAAATGCTAGAAAACAAATTCATAATTAATTCAATCATCTATTTTTATAAGTAATTAAATTAAAAATGTTTAATTATTAAATTCTGACTATGTGACAATCACTTTATTTATTTATTTTTTTTTTTTGTTGTTTGTTTTGTTTATTTATTTATTTATTTTTTGTTTTGTTATTTTTTAATAGCACTAACCAATCCATCATGCAGACAATTGTGGTAAACTTTTAAGATTGGTTGAATTTGACTAACTTCAACTGTTGTACCATGTATAAAGAATTGTCCATCTTCATCGGTATATGTTTCATTTAAAACATCATCTGGATTTATTGTTGAAAATTTCAATAAAATTGAAAAAAAAAATTATAATTTAAAAAAAATTTTACAAAATTTTTTTGAGCAATTTTTTCATTTGTTTTATTGTTATTTTTTGTTTTCTTTTTTTTTTTTTAACTTTTATTCTATGTAAATAATAACATTTCAAAAATTTCATTTTTTTTTTTATATAAATTTAAAATATAAAAAATAATTACTTAGCATATATTCATCAGTTGTAATTGGTTGATTTATGAGATTATTATCCAATTCAAATAATTTTATTCGTACACCAATTGCTGGTTTTTGACCACAAATAAATTTACCACGAATAGCTGTTGACTGTATCATACGTTCAACTCGATATGTTCTTATTAAATTAGCAAATGTTAAAAGAATAAAAAAAATTGTAAACCAAAATCGTAACATTCTGAAAAAAAAAAAAAAGTTTATTGAAAATTTTCAATTATTATTTCTATTTAATAACGAATATAGTATGCAATAATTTGCTAATAAAATGCAATAATTAAAAAGAAACTAATAAATATATAATAATAAACAAAAAAAAGGTAAATAAATAAACAAAAACAACAAAGTCCAAAAGAATTAAATAATAATAATAATAAAACTTTTGAGAGAAAAAAAAAATGGAAAGAAATAATAAAAATTTTCAAAAATTTTTCAATTAGAAAATAGCAAAAAGAAAAAAAAACAATAAATTAATCAAATAATTTAATTGCTAATTTTTATTTAATTATTCAAAATATTTGCTGAACTAAAAAAAATTTGTTTTTTCTTTTGTATTAATTTATAAAATTTATTTCACTAATAATTTTCAATTGATAATTAAAAATTTCAATTGGTGGAGAAAAAAAATGCAAAAAAAAAGATTAATAATTAAAAAAAAAAAATTAATGTAAAAATTAATAATTAAAAAATGTAAAAATCTAAAAATTTCAAATCATTCTCATATTAAAAATATTTTATGAAATTTAAACAAAAAAATTAAATAAACTTAGCAATGAAATTTATCGACCAGTTAATAATACATCGAATATATCGACTGAGCTATTTCCAATAATAAAATATACAAACAGAAAAGTTTACTTATTGACCTTCGACCTAACCTTGCTAATATAAGTTTGCCCGTTGACCTTTGACCTAACCTAGTCATTATAACATTGTTTATGCACAATTTCTTTCATAAATACATAGACAATAACATAGTACTAAAATTGCTATTACTAAATGTTCAATAATAAATTACCGTTAATTTATAAAAAAAAAATAAATAAAACAAAAAAAAGAAAAAAAATTGCCAAAAAGTATAAAATTATTAACACATTTTCAGTGAATTTATTTACTATTTATAAATTCTTTTAGATTTCTAAAAATCGATAAAATAATAATATAAAATGCTTACAAAATTTTTCATGTCAATTATAAATTAATTCAATATGAAAAATATAATATAATTTGTATCTGTTTGTAAAATTACTACACAATTATTTTTCAATCCAATCCAAAATTATATCATAATTTCAAATATTAAAAAATTTGCATTTATATGCATGCAGTTTTATGTTTAACCGGAAAGTAAAATCCATATCTAACCGGAAAGTTACAAATACAGTCATAGTTCATCCAACTATTCAGCCATACATTCATCAATTTACCAATTTTTTTCACCAGAAAATAAAGGGAAAAAAGTTGATACTAATTAATTTTATTTTCAAATGAAATGAAACTTCAAAAGTTATCAATTTAAATAATTGTTTAATTCAATTTTATGCCAAAAATAATCAAATATATTAAATATATAAAAAAAATCAAATATGTTTAATATATAAAAATAATCAAATATATTTAATATTTCAATAATAGTAATTATTCAAAAAAAGAAAGAAAGAAAAAAAATCTTTTATTTTTTTTGATCATAGATTTTCTTCTTGGATATAAACTTGACAACTAATTTTTCCCTTTTTTTTTGAATAATTATTCGGATTTATTCATCATTCTTATTTTTCATTTATAAATATTACCAAAATGTTTAGCTGGGATATAAATTTGCATATTTGGCCCATGAGATTGTTAAGTTCGGCGCGAACATATAAATTTGGTTTGAAGTTTCTAAGGTTTAAATCAATTAGTTCAGTAATTAATTAATTTAATTAAGTTGGTTCATTAAATAAATTTTATTTAATCTGATTATTTATTTAAAGTTTATTTATTTAAAGTGATATTTTAAGAAAATGCCAAAGAAGAGAAGAGGGACGAAACGAATTTCAAGAACTAAACATGATGCTGTTACAACGATTATTCCGCAATTTCAACCGATCAATCCATCACGACGTAAAATTTTCAATCTTTATTGTTATTATTATTGTTATTATTATACCTAGGATCATCATAGTTAGAAATTATTGCTAATATCAAAATGATGTTTTAGTAATCAGATATTATGACATTGTGAAATATAAAATAAATTTAATGCAAAATTCATTTCTACTGTATCATAAGTGTGCATATCCTTTTCAGAGAATGTTTCTGAATTATTATCAATAATTGGAGCTCATGCAAATGTTAAACGAGTGAACAAAGCTAACATGATGAAAAAAGCGTAGGTGATATGAATTAGAAACATTAGGAACTAAATACTAGATGCCGAATTTTTTTGTATATAGTTCATAAATTCTTTAAATTAATTGTTGAATATGTTTTTAATAAATTTCTTAGATACACTTTTGTAGATTACTTTCTTACAAAAATTTATACATATTTATGCTGTTTAATAGTCGATCTATTTAACCTTTTGGAAAACCTTTTGAAATGAATGCGCAGAAGTTTTCTACGCGATAAGAAATTGGTAATAATAAAATGGAGCTACAGATATGTATATATATTATTTAAATTACTCAAATTAAATAATGGCATATTTTTAGTGAAGTGTATGGTTGGCTTGGAGCTGGTGATATTCAATCCGTATTCAAATATTGTAGTAAGATCGTTTTGAAAGATGATTTCATTCAATTGGTTTGTTTTTTTTAATAACTGATTTAGTTATTACGCAAAGTTATAGTCAACAAAATTAACGTTGTCAATATTGAGATTATTAGTGCAGTGCTAAATGCGGACTTTTACAGTACTCTTGTCTGGAATATGTTATCTTCATTTAGGACTATTTAATGTTACACTATTTTATATTCGATCTGATATGATGAAACGATCAAATTTCAGAATAAATATCCTAAAGGTGAAATTTCTACGGCAATTATCAATATTATTTCTGAATTCCCAGATATAATACAAACTTCAGCGATAGAAACACAAAAGCAATCAGTGGTTGATAAGGAAAATCTGTTTGTCGAAGCTGCTTTCGCTCAAAATTTCATATTTACGTAAGTTAAAACCTAATGCAAAATATTCTTCTGTAATTTTCATAACGTTTCAATTAATTTACACGAGCTTGTAGGAAAGAGGGAACATCACGAGACATTACTAGCGACCAGTCCTTATTGTATACTAATGAACCAACGAATTTGTTCTCCTTTGTGCGTCGTGATGATAATATTATTCTTTTTACTGATTCTGAATGCTTCGATGCTACACGATATTTTGTCCAGAAAATTTGTAAGTTTTGATTAATAAGTGAAACACATCCTCATGTAAAAGTGTAAGTAAGTTTAAGTTCGCTTTTCCTAAAAAAATATTGCTAACGCGTAGTTTCCAGAGGTACTGATAATGGTTAATTGCTTACAGTAGAAATGTGATCTGACGAAGATAAAGTAAAATCAATTAGAACAGAAGATAGTAATCATCTTCCAACGGTGGGTATGCAGTAGTATTAGCAGCTTCTGAACGAACAGTGAGCATAATTAATAATTTTTTCTAACTCTTACAAAAAACAGAACAGAAATTACTCAAAAGGGTAATTATTTTTTGATTTTTTATAATAACTGTTTCTAGTTATTTGCTTACTTTTAAAATGAATCATTTGTACCTGGTTTTTTAATGCTAAATTTTTTTGTTAGGCAATTTTTTAATAAATTGAATTTTTTCAGGGCAGTGGGTCGATGGGGAAGCTTTTGTTGACTTTAAACCCTTGCTGTGTGATGAAAATTTCGAGAACAGGTGAGTATATTGTAGTATTAACTGTTTTTTACAACTAGTGAGCGTAATCAATAATTTTTTTATAGCTCTGGACGACTTTTTGCAATTTTGCCCGACAAGAAATTGAAGATCATGGCAGAACTTACAACACTAAGGCGCGAATATACAGCGGTATATTTCATTTAGTTTCTTGTACTTCAAAATTTAATTCAAAGTTTTAGAAAATCATTTTAGATGTGAATCATCTTTGTAAAGGTATGACAGAATCTCAATAATAGTATGAAATTTATCTTATTGACTTTATGGCTCTGTCCATTTGTGATTGCACTTTATGTTTTGATGAGTTTTGCAGAAATTCGGAAACTACGACGCTGACAAGTCATTATCTACTGCTGATTGGGTTAGTACATTATTGGGATTTTTTCCTTCTGTTTTATTTTTTTGTAATCCAAAAACTTACACACAAAAAAAAAAAAAAAAAAAAAAAAACTAGTTTTGTATTTTTTTTATATCAGGACGAAATTAGTACACTCAATGCTAGCATCTCGGAAGCTGAATCATTTGAACTGGTAGTGGATGAAGAAAACAAAAAACAGGTATATTGTAATATTACATTTCCTTGTTAATTTATCTGTGAAAGAGAATTAATTTAGGCAGATAAACGGAAATTAAATTTAGCAGGTTTAGTTTTATAGTTTCTCTAGAATCCTTACTTTTTTTATCTTTTGAGGGTTTCAGTAACTTGTAATATATCTTGCTGTCTTCCTTTCAGGATGTAAGTTCTACCAGTGTTCTTAATTTGAGCACGGTGATATCAGAAGAACGATTTGCTCTTTTGCAGGAGATCAAGAATAAGGAAAAAGAATTAAGAAATGAGCAGGAAAAGTATGAGCTATTATGTTTCTTTTGATAGAAAGATGTTCTGAAATTTGGGCTGATTAATTTTTTTTTATCTCTTGTACTTTTATATCTCATATCTTATAAGTTCTTTTTTAGATTCAAATATTCTTTAATACCTCAAGAGAATATCGCAGAAGCAAGAGCTCGATTTCGTGAAATGGTAAATATAGATTTTTTTAAATTTTTTACGTTCATTTTTTTTTATTACTTATTGTATATTTATTCTTATAATATAGCATGTTTGACTAAATTAAACTGACCATTTATTAGCAAAAGACTAAAACGATGGAAAATTGATATAGATGACAACATACCATCAATTTGTTTGAACTTATTTTATGCTGACCTGAATAAATTGTTCAGCTTTTATGAAACGAATATACTGCAGATAATATTGATATTTGTAGCTAACAAAAGACGTTGAAAGTGCAACAGCATCAACTGCAAAAAAGTTGTTTACGGTTCTGAGGGACAGCAGAAAAGGCAACACGTAGATTATGGTATTATTTTGAACCATAAATTTGAGTCACATTTTGTTTCTCACTTTTCTATAATTCCATTATTTGTAAATTGTTTGATATTCATAAGCAGGACGAAACGCAATTATACACTTATTATGTAGTCTAAAAGCTTGGCTAAACCTATAATTTGCTTGAATGTCAAAGTTTTTTTTAATTTCTTTGTTTTTATCCATTTTTTTTTTTAAAATGTTGATTGTCAGTATGATTCTTGTAAACATTTTATTATTTCATTTTTATTTTCCTGGCATACTATCTGCTATTTTATCATAATTGATGAGCAGAGTGTTGAAATTGACTGGAGAATACGTTCATCTTGGCTGCACACTATCATAAAATCTTCCCGTGATATCCAACCCTTATTTTCGTGATCAAACTTCTGAAAAAATTAAAGAATCAGAAAATTTGAATATTTTTTTTTTAGAATCTCTTCTTGATCTAAGCTAAATCGAAAGCTAATTTTCAGCAGTGTAAAAGGATGGTCAACTTTATTTCTGTTGTTCAATATTACTGAAGCAAAAGTTAAATCTTTTTTTTAAAAGATGTTTTACGAAATTTAAAATAAATTACGATAAATATGTAGCAGTGCATGTCTACCTGTATAATTTGTCTAGCTTGTTCTACTCGCTGTTCCGGTGATACTATTGGAATTGCTTTGGTTCCTAAATTGTATTTTTCTTTTTATATTATTGACATTGTATTATTTAATTTTGAATATCTTCTAATTGCTAAAAATAAACTGCTACAGTTATGTTATATCATATGAAAGCAAAATATTATCAATCCTTTGCAAATCTATGTTTTCTCATTAAAAAGAAGTTTTTCTTTTTTCTCAAACTCTAACCAATTAAGTCATCAATAGCGGTGATAATCCTAAAAATTCGTTCCCATCCAATTTTACCAGTATTTTTGGGATCATATAATTTGTAGATCCAATTTAATTTTTCCTCTACTGTTCCCCTGAGCAAAGTTGAGCATACACCAACGAAGTCCTGCAATTACAATTAAAAATGTAAATCATCAAAAAAGTATTTGCATAGTAAAATAAAATATTTCACAAGTAAACAATAAATAAGTAAGTCTAAAATCATCCAGCATGTTGACGCAAAAATAAATTACCGTAAACGTAACACATTCGGCATGTTGACGTACGATACTATCAAATATCAAATCAGCAAATTGTTCAGCATCACCGTGAGGAAAAATATTAGCATATATATCACGGAATGAATCTCGACAAATAGGTAACGTATCCTTAAATGCTCTATAAAGAGCTCGTAATTCACTAGCTGTAAAATGTTGTCCTGGTAAAATCTGAAATTCATCCATTCATTCTCTTTTTTTCTTTCTCTTTATGAAATTTTTATTACTAATTTTTAGATAAATTTAAACGTTAAGAAGAAAAAGTATTATTTTAAAATATTTCGTATTTTCTTCATATCAAAAATAATTTCATATGTAAATTTTTAAATTGAGTAAAATTATTAAATACAAAATTGATTAAATACAAATATTTATGTTTTCATTAATATTTATTTTATTAAACAATATTAATAATCATATATTTTATTCTACTAATATATTTTCTACATCATTTACCTGTATTTTATTTAATAATTTAATTTCTGCTTCTGTTTGAGAAAAAAATATTATAGGATATTTAATTATTAGTAAAATTATTATATGATATGCTTCTTCTTTTTTTTTGGTATAAATTTAAAAAAAAAAAAAAAACTTTATACAGGTATTAAAAGTTGATATTAGCTATAAAAATAAAAAAAATAGTATGGAAAGATGATTTATGCAAAATGATACAGAGCTCAAATTAGGTCGAATTGATATTTGTTCATAATGTTTAATCACTTCCATATCGCTTTCTGAAATTATAAAATAGGAAAAAATTTATTATCAAATATAAATACACTACAAAATTGACAATAATTTAAAAAAAAAATTGATTACTGCAATAATTTGTAAGTAAAGTAAAGTAAAGTAATTGCTCAAAATTAATGAAAACAATTTTTTTAAAAAAAAGAGACAATAATTGCTATAATAATTCTTAAATAAAATAGCAAAATATTAAATAACATAGACATATAAGTCTTAAAAAAAAAAGTTTTGTTTTTTATTTCAAAAAATTTGTCAAAATGATAAATTTGAAAAAATTTCAGAAATGTTATACTGATGTAGCAGTTAGAAAGAAAATAACCAACTTGTGACTATTTAAAAATTCTTTCTTTTTTCTTCCTTTTTCTTTCTATTATTATTGAAGAAAAAATTTTTATGATTGAAGAAAATATACTTGGAGATGAAAGTTTTTGAAAAAAAAAAAAATTTAAAGCATTTTTGTTAGAAATTTTTTTTTTTTTCATCCAATTTTCAATTCATTCTTCTTATTCATGCTTGTAAATTTTAAAGCAATAAATTGCTTAACCAATAATTTCCCGAGAGAGATTAGAAATAGAAATATTTTTTCGTTTTTACTTTTTAAGCAAAAATGTTACAAAATTATTAATTTCCGTTTGAGAAATTGTTTATTTGTTTATTTTTTTTAAATGATCAAATAGATGTGATTGTTTAATTGATTTAATTGATTAACTAATTATTTCAAGCTATGGTTAATGAATAGATGATTTAATTAATTAGGATAAATTTTAAGGTGATTAATTAGAGTAAATTAAGATGATTGTAAATAAATAATTGAGACAATCAATTAGAATTGAAATGGCCGGAATAATTTGAAATTAATTTATTAGTATATATGTTTGTAAATAAGATGCAATCTTTAAATTTTGACGAATTTTATTCTGCTGGATTTTCATAACAATCTAATTAATTTATCAAAATTTGTGATTAAAATTAATTTCAAAGTTTAGAAATAAATTGAAAACTGTTACTAATTACAACTTTTATTAAGTTCGCTATTTTAATTTTGTTCCAAAGTAAAATTTTCAAACTTATTTTTTTTCATTTTGATAAAGTGTGTATAATTTTGCATGAATTACTTATGAATGTTTATTTTTTATCGCATCAGTTTATAAAAGTTATATTTTAAAAATGTAAAAATTTTCTTTATTATCATTATTGAATCGTAATGAATGAGAAAATTATAGAAATTGATAATAAATTTGTTAAATTCTGTGCTAATAAAATTAAATAGTAATACTAAAGTGACCAAAGAAATAACTAATATTTTGATTTGGAAATTATTAATTTTCAAACATTACATTGTTTATTATCTTTTTATATACTGCAAATAAAAAATTTTAAATACGAAATAATTTTAGTACTAAATTAAAGGAAATATTAGTCCATTAAAATTGACGTAGGATTTGTACTTTATAAAAGAAATAATTCCCTTAAAAAATTAATCTTTCATTATTTATCTTTATGGGTGATAATAGAAAATGTGAAAAACGAGGGAAAGAGAGAAAGAAAAAAACAGAGAGAGATTAAATAGAGAGATGAAGAGTAGAGAGATGAGGATTATTTAATAATGATTATTACTTTATATTATTACTATTACTAATACTCTTTTATTATTACTATTGTTATCATTATTATCATTATTATTAATATTACTATTATTATTATTTGGCTAATTTACTCAAAATATCACATAAAATAAGCATTTGAAAAGCTATATTAATAAAATGGATAACTTATTTTATATCATTCATATCAGCAATATATCAATAGATTAAATTAATTAATTTAGGCTTAATTAAATTTCATATGAATTATCATTCATTTGTTTTTATTCTATTAAACAAAACTTTTGAATAACATTACCTAAATTTTTTTTTTTTCAATTAATAAGCATATAAATAAGTCAACATTTAACAGTTAAAATATGTAAATGAACTATAAATAAGTATGAAATAAGTAAATAACAAAAAAAAAAAAAGAATGTCAATATATGAAATTTTTAAAACGAAAAAAAAAAACAAAAAACAAAAACAGGCAGAAAAACTTCTAGAAACAACTTCTTGTTTACTTAAACAAAAAAAAACCCTCCCTCTATGAATATAACTATACATTGTAATAAATTATATTTAAAGCTGAAAGGAACAAAGTTTGAATTTTAAAAGTTTAATTTTACAACTTTTTGAAAAATTTTCGGTCACTTTTATTATTGTGAAAAATGAATGAGCAAAGTTTGAAAGTTTTTAAAATGGAAATAAAATGCAAATAGGAATGAAAGCAATTACATATTATTGTTCCTCCCCTTTTTTTTCTAAATCAAAGTTTTCATTTCAAATTAAAATTTTTCCCTTTTTTTTTTCTGAATTGACGATTATTTCTGTGCAAAAAAATAGCACTGAAATTGGACAAAAATTTCATTTATAATTTTGAAATGCAAATTTTAATAATTTTTTAAAACAAATATATGAAAAAACCTTTTTTCCAACCATTTTTTACTGTAAGAGAAAATAATAATTTCCAAGAAGAAAATTGCCCATCGAATATTATAATTTTTTATTATTACTTTTGCTTTTCTTTTATGCTAATTAAGGAAAATGAATGGTCATAAAATTTTTTTAAATGAAAAATTAAAAAATCAAAATTAGAATAGGCAATTTCAAAGCTAATATTTTGTTTAGAAATTTTCAAATTTATCAAGCATACAGATTGCTATCTAAAATTTGAATTTCGAACTGAGAATATTTTCTTTTCTCTCTTCCCCTCCCTTTCTCTCTCTCTCTCTCTCTCTCTCTATTAATATAGCTATATTTGCACAACTCATAATAATATATGAATGCAAAAAGCTTTGGTAAATTTATCTAAAAATGTAAATTTGAGAAAATTTTTAAAATTAATAGCACAATTAGGTTCTTTCATTTTTTCTTCAAATTAAATAATTATAAAAACATTTTATAATAATTAAATCATAACTTACTTCTTTTAAAGAGTAATTTTTCTTTTTTTGCTTGGGTAAATTGTTAGGTAAATTATTTAATTATTTTATTAACCTTACTTGTCAATGCGTTTAGAGCGCATTTTATCTTCTCGGTATAACCAGCTGAGCGGCGTCTGTTGCTCATTCTGTCTTGCAGCTTGCATTTACAGCATATTGGTTTTAAGTTTGAAATTTGAAGATATTACAATTTAGTTTGAAATAGTTTGCTCTCATCTTTCCTTCATTTCTCTCTCTCTCTTCCCTTCCCTCTCTCTGTCTCTCTCTCTCTCTCTCCTTGCTGTCTTAATAATTATTAAAGTAAGTAACACTCAGTTGAAATATAATATTAGCATCCAAGCAACAATCAGCCAAATTGTCATATAATAAGAGAAAAAGGAGAAAAAGCCATTGAGGTTCTTTTTATTTTGACTCATTTTAACACTCAACTTTTCAACATTATAAAATATAGAATTTATTTTTCTTAAATAATATTTTTTTAAAATGAATAATAGAATCTGATAGTAAGAATATTAGTAGTATTAATAATAATAATGTATAAAACAAACATATAAGAGGAAATATTTATTAAGCGCTAAAGCCAAATTTTCACCTTTCAAAAGATTTTAAGCTTATTTCAAAATTAGTTATTAGATAAAATTAAAAAATGATCATAATTACTTGATATCAAGCAGTTCAGTCACATATTTTCATGAACTAATCAATTTTTTGTTGAGTTATAATTACTGTAGCAGTATTCGATTACTAATTAATTAAATAATTATAAATTTCATTAATGATTAATGTGTATATATAATATAAATCATTGATAAAATCATTTTTAAATGCATTTTTTTCCCTTAAAAAAACGCATCGTTTTTTGTTTTTGTTTCCGTTTTGATATTTCGAAAGTGCTTTTACTATATGTTTTTCTTGAGATTACCTGGCTTAACATATAAATGATAGGGAAGCAGTCAAAAAAGCTCTTTTTTTTCTTATCTTTATTATTACTATTATTATTATTATCATTATTATTATTATTATTATTATTATTATTATTATTATTATTATTATTATTATTATTATTATTATTATTATTATTATTATTATTATTATTATTACCACTACTATTACTATTGTCATTATTCTTATTACTATTATTATTAATTATTATCATCATCATTATACATGATAGTTCTTTTCTATTTGTGATAATTTCTTCATTTAAATTAAGATTCTATCATGCTTAAATTAGTATGACGATAAGAGATATTAAATATTGAAAGTTTAAGCATTCAAAATGACCCAACATAATTATAAATTTCGTGAATAAAAAAAAAAAAAAGATTAAACCTCTCCTTCGCCTTCAAAAAAGAAAACGAATATTAAAAAAAAGAATAAATTTCTTTGCTATCAATTTTTTATTTGCAAT